ACTCGTGTCATCCTTTCTACCTCAGCAAGGAACACCTTGGGCCTGTTAGAGTCTGTGAGTTCTTTCCTAAGCTGCAGACAGAGCATGGGTCTAAGGAACAGCTTCTGCGGATTTGCATCGATCCAGATCCTACAGTGACTGAGGTGAGAGGGGAGGATGGATGGAGGTTCTGTCCATGCCCTTTACCTCTTCACCTTGAGCACTGAAGATGGTTATTTATCCTTCCTGCTAAGCTGGCTGGCTTCAGAATGACCTGGATACTGAGGCCCTCCTCTTGGTGTTGGCTGTAAGGGTGGTTTGTTTTTGTTTGCTCACTTTTGAGGACTGTTTGCATAAAGAAGGTATGGAGAATGTAAGTAACTCCATCCCATAGACTGGGACCCAGAAAGAAATAAAAGGGAAGGCACAGCAGAGCAGAGGGCACTGGCACCACTTCTCTGTACCCAGCTTTTCTGACGAGAGTCATCCTGGGCTGAGCTCTCTGAAATGGTGAGTTAACAAGCGCCCCTCTCCTAATTTATACCTGGCTTTTCAGTGACTGTGACACAGTAACCAACACAGGAAACAGATACTAAGCATGAGCATACAGGCAGCCTTTGGATCCGGTTTGCCAGAGGGTATTTGGAAACGTCTGGAGACACAAGCTGGAGAAGATGTAGAGCATTGTAAACGGGGCTCAAATGTTCACAGACATGAAAAAACAAATACTAGGTTTCTGATGGACAGCATTTTCCCAGGATTTTGACTTGAGGCTATTTGAGTTACAGCCTCATTTTTTTTTTCTGTGTCCTGAAACTATGAATGAAGAATGGATAGTAATTAATTAACTTTGCCTTCCAAAAGCCAAGGTAAATTAGCCTTTATGCTGTGGCACAGATCTTGCTAGATGCTTGTAGCAAGGTTTAAAGTGACAGTCATGAGCAAAGGTGCGGCAGGAGTGTTTTCTCTTGTAGTTCAGCCAGAAAAGAAGTGAGCTGAAATGTGTACCTAGAAGGTTTAGTGATGTTTAAAGGAAGCCAATCACTCTAGACTTGCTTCAGAGTGATGCAGAAAACAGCCAGAACTACCCACCCCAGGATCGGAGAAAATCCCTGTAAATCCACATGGAGACTTTTCCTGTAGAAAGAGTGTCGCAGTGCCCTGTTCACACAGGGCTGGCCAGGGAGGTATCTTTCCAGAAATCAGATGCTCAGTCACTACTGCAGCTATGGTCCACAGAGGCCCAGATGTTATGCCCCAAATGTCACCAGACCTCAGCATCATCCTTATGGTGCTAATATTTTAATCGCGTACAAAGTATGAATTAAGGAGACATGGGTGAGTCATTAATATTTTTAAAGAAAGGCCTAGAAGGTCTGCTGATATATAGTACAAACTCTCTGAGTTAATACATGATGCTGTGAAGGTGAAGCCTAGGCTAAAATGGAGATTCTGGGATATTGGAGATACCAGAATACAGAACATCTGCAAAGGAGAAAATGGAATAAAGAATACAGCCAGTCTAAGAGAGAGGACATGTGGGTTGTATACACAAGGCCTTATGGGTAGGGTTGCCTGATAGAGGGCTCATTCTGATACGACATATGCTAGAGGCTAGACAAGGAACTATGGAACTCCATGTTTGCTCTGCTGCGTTTCAGCTTTGCTTTGGTTACATTTTTGCTTTTTTGTATCCCTAATCTTCCCCTTTGCAATGGTGATATTTCCTTCCTGCTATTTTATGTTGAAAGTACGTAATTTTCTTTTTGATTTTTTTCACAGGCTCAGAACTTAGAGATTACCTTAAATTCATAGTGATCTGGACTCATTTTAAAATAATGATGGAACCATTATGATTTGGGGAAGATTTGCAAATGAACTGAATGTGTTTTGCATTGTGAGGTGGGCATGAGCTTTTTTTTGGGTGCAGAGATAGAGTCTCACTATATGAAGTGGTACATTTACTTGTCAAGTGAACAAGGCATGGACTTGCAATAGTTATCTTCATTGTCAGCTTGAGGAGGGTTAGAATAAACTAGGATGTCAAAGCCACACCTCTGGGTATACGTGTGAAGCCATTTCCATGGAGTAAAGACACAGCTGACTGTGGCTGCAGCCATCCTGTTGACCAGAAGAGAATGGAAGATATCCAGGGTGATAGCGCCCCATTTCTCTGCTTCCTGAGCTTCCTCAGTGTGAACAACTGTACTCTGCCACGTTGACCCTACCTTTTTGAACTTACTTCTGTGACACTGGGAGGCACAACAAGCCCTTCCTCTCTTCACTTGTAAGGTATGCTGGTCGCAGTGACAAAAGCTACTAATGTATGCTCTCTAAGGAAAGGGGACCTGGAACTGAATTGGATAGAGCTGGATGTTGCCTGAAGCCTATTAGTGGGAAGAGCAAGCAGTGGTGAACTATGTCTGTCTGGATGGCACAGTGGCTGCGGATGCCAGTTACTTACTCAAAGAGGGGGGGGCACCATGGCAAATTCATTAAGACACCCTACTTTCTTTTCCCTAGAACGATTCGCCACTTGTGAGAATCATGTATTTTAAAAGCAAGGCACCCCATTGAGTTCTCCTCTGAGAGCACCGTTTCCAGCTTCCGCTCTTGCCGCCATGAGGCTGAATGCAGGCTACAGCTGAAGATAAGCAATCACATCGTGTGAAACTCTATATCGAGAACATGAGTCCGAAGAAGGATCACGGTATTAACACACGCAAGGGGACATTTCAGGTAGTGCCATCAGCAAAACCTGTGGAGGAACAAAGGCGAGCTAGGCTCTATGGGTCACGAGCTGAAGGCTTCGCATACCAGCTTTCATCGGAGCCATTTTAGTAGATAGCCACACTACTGTCCCTCCTAACTTGGAGGATTTAACGCTGAAAATGAAGGAGAGAAGAGACTCTAGCTGGGGGGACGGCTTCCTCACCTCTCCATCAACCTGGTGGTCCAGGGGACACTGAGCACCTACATTTTATTGAGTACCATTTGCCTTCGATGAGCTCATGTCATACTTGGTGTCTGTACAAACACTGTGGTGCCAATAGCTAGGAAACAGAGACAACCTAAATGTCCTCCAGCGAAAACGTGGTACATATACACCACAGGGTTCTATTCTACCGCAAAGAAAAATGAAATCATGAACGCTGCATGTGAGCACATAGCCTGGAGCAAGTGAAGAAAGTCGCAGAGCAGGGGAGGGGCTGGAGAGCAGTAGGGAGGGGAATGGTAGGGTACCAGAGATCTGATCGGGGAAATACAAAGAGAGACTCTAATTATGAACAACAGAAGGAGATAAATGAAGAAAAATGAAATGGGGTAAAACAACAGTAAGGATGTTAGAAAAATGTCATAAAAATCCTACTATTAAATATCTATCCCCAAGCCCCTAGTACACACAAGTCTGTCTATAAATATACATATATAACTTAAATGAAGATGTTCTCATCTGGGTTAATAATGTTCCCTCCAAGAGCCTAAGACCACCAGACAAAAACCACAACATCAAGTATGAGAAGACTGTTTTTGACTTTCTGGTCAGGGTTGTCCAAAAGAGTCCCAAACATTTCAGGCTGTTGCTATTGCCCTTGGCTGCCTACCAGAGATGGATGGTAGGTCCCTATTTCTGAAGACACTTTACAGCTCAGACATATGCCCAGAACCCCTGAGCTAGAACTAACCTGAATGCCACATCGAGGACTAGTTTTCATGGTTTCATGAGAGCCCCCAAAGAAGGGAAACAGAAGCAACCAATAGTCCTACCCAGTTATAATGTAGATGAACCATAACAGTGACCATCACAACAACATAACACTAAGGGTGAAGTACTAGTATGCATGCTTTGTGAGTAAACAATGCCTCTCTAATTGGACGTAAGACCCAACCCACAAGAAAGAAATCATGCCTAGTACTGGAAACCTAGCCACCTACCCAGGGCTGAAGCCATGGAACTTGGAAACTTCCACTAAGCCAGCATAATCCCTAACTGTACTCTAAATATGTGTCACTACACCACAGATAAGTACAGCCCTCACTCCCTTCAAGGGTACTTCTCTTTGCAAGAGACAAAAACCACTACAGAAAATCCCAACCAATCAAAATGGGGAGTTGAGGAGCCCAGTCCCAATTGATACATCTACAAAACAGTGGCTACGCCTAAGGCTCAGGGAACAATGCAGAAGATGGGGGTGGAAAGACTGTAAGAGTAGGAGGATCAGGAAGTTTGCTGTGTCTCCTAGTAACGTCAGAAGTTGCATCCATAATGTCTCACCAACATGGCTTCCTAAACATGAGCTGAATAAAGACAGCAAGAGACGTGCCAAAGTGGAAAGCCCCAGAGGCCTAAACCCTACACAAAGGGTTTATCACCACTGGCAACTAAGGAATGTTGAGTGGGAGAAAGACAAATAGTCTTCCCCAGGGAAGAGCATACCGATTGGTTATCCAACCCCAAATGGCCAGCCCTGAACACATGCATAAAAGTAACACCGTATAGACTGAGCTGCTTATATGTGGAAATGTAAAAGTGCACATACACACAAGCATGCGCACGCACGCGCGCACACACGCGCGCACACACACACACACACACACACACACACACACACACACACACAAGCATGTATCAACAAATCATGAAAAAAGAGGCCATGGACTTGAAAAGGAACAATGAGAGGTATGTGAAAGGGCTTAGAGGAAGGAAAGAGAAGAGAGAAATATTGTAATTATATTATAATCTCAAAAATAAAAGCACCGTTTAAAAAAAAAAAAGAAAGAAACCAACAACACTGTGCTGGTTTATTAGAATTAGAATGACCAGAATGAATGCAAGGTCTCAAAAGGATAAAAACAAAAAAACAAAACAAAACAAAAACCCCACACCTTGCAATATAAGGAGGTGGTCACGTGATATCTGTTCCCAGGCTTTGGGAGCAATATTGTCTATGACAACACCCCCCAAGGACCACAAAGATATGCAAGTGCTGGCTTCTTGGTTATTCACGGAGAGTGAGTACCTGAAGGAGAGGGCTGTCCTTTTACTACGCCGTTTTTCGTCTTTTCTTCTGAGTTCATTACTTCCTTGTAGATAAGTTCTGTGAGAAATAATTGCCCATGTTGTCAAAACAGAAAAGCAAAGATTTCTTTAATCTACAAACAGATGCACTAGCCAACGACATAACCATCTTTGCGATACGGAGCAGATTATTAAGTCACTGAGGGTTTTTAATCATCAACCTCTATATTTTCTTGCTCCCAGCTCAAAGCTTGGCAGCTCAGGTCCTCCACACAGTAGTTAAGCACACAAATATCTAAAAATAAATATGTAACTGTTTCCTGAATTGATTGTGACAGACTCCTGGATATACTGTCATGCTGTCAATTAAGGATTTAAACAACCTTGCTTGCTGGTTCATTTGTTTGTTGGTTGGTTGGTTTCTGCAGTATTGGGGTTCATACCCAGGGTCTCCTGTGTGGTAGGAAATTACCTCCTCACTGGCCTGTGACTGCAGCGGATGGCTTTGCTTTTGGATGCTCTCATTTCCTTTTATACTCACTTCCTGCATGCAAATTCTCTGAACTTTAAATTATAACCAATTCTTACACCTTCTGCCTCTAAGACCATCTTTCTTTCAGACTTGTTAACTCAAGCAGAGCAGAAACAAAAAAGAATCGTTTTGTTCATTCCCAGACTGGCAGCCATTTTTTTTTTCTCGTTGCCATAGATTAGCCTGGAGATCGCTAGTTCTTTTACGCTGCCAGATTTAGCTAAAAGTCATTCAGTCCTATTCATCCTTTATATATGACCATCCTTTCCAGACTCTTCCTCCTCCAGGGCAGAGGATGTCCTGCTCTTACTGGCTACACCTTCTCACCTGCCAGTTCACAAGCCCCCATAATGCCTTTCAGCCTTCACTTAGGTCTCAGCAAACCCCTGTGCACTCGCCATCTGCGGTCATTTTTTTCCCTGGCGCCACATGCATGAGCTTGTTTTCCCATGTTCGCTATCACCGTCCTGTGACCAGTACAATCTCTTTATAGCACCCTTTGCTTATTTCTAACATTTGGTTTCTCCTTGTCTCTTCCATCTGGTATTTTCCTTTTCCCAACTTGTGGGATGATTTCTTTAAAAGTCACTCAAAAATTCCATCCTTTTTCTGTTCCTGCTCATTTTAATTTCATCATGTGACACCATCTGTATTTGGATTCCTTACATTTGTTCTTCTCCGTGGCTAATTATATTAGTTTAACAATTCTTTGTAGGTTTAACTCTTTTTTCTATTTTGTTTGAGCTCGGGTAGAATTTTGAAGCTCCAGTATGAGTCTGGAGAAGTTTTCCTAGAAGCACAAATTGATGTACTCACTGATTTATTTTTACTCAGGGGAAGAATGGGCCTCTTTGGTTCTACTTAAATGCTCACATCTTGTAAGTTTTGTAAATTAATTTATATATTAACTATATTGAATTTTTAAAATGTTAAGTGCGTTTCAAACTTAATTTTAGCTTACATTTTCTTTTAGGAGCTGGGAGGTATGGTCTGAGAACAGCTTCGGAAAGCTGTGTCTCTCCTTCCTCACATGGGCCCAGGGATGAAATGAGATTAGGATTTGGGATTTGAGATTAGGAATCTCTCCACTGATCCATCAGTCTAGCCCTCAAACTTAATTTTAATTTTATATACAAACACGGTAGTTCAATTTTTAAGTATTCAAGTGAAGCTTAACCCCACGGCAAACGCTTTGGCAGTCAATACTGTTCTACAAAGGTGTCCATCAGAAATTCTTTTTATTTTTAAGCAAAAAGTGCCACACAGGAGGAAGTTACACATGCTTTCTTTGTAGGAAGATACCCAATAAGCAGGGTAGTTTCCACACTCTGAATTCCAGCACAGCAAGCTGTACATGTGAGCACAGCGGACTCACCTTTCCATTCTTCAATGGTGTGCTCCCTTTCATCCAGCTGTTTATCATAGATCTGCGGAGGAGGCTGCGGGGGAAATAAAGAAAGCAAACATCTTTTTTGATACTCAATCCAAACACAATTGTGCTCTCAGCGGTCGTGGAGATGCCCTGCCACTCACTGGTTCTGGTGGCGACCACAACCCTGTGTGAGTTTGGGGGAAATTGCCGTAGCTTGACAGTTCAGTATCCCACCAAGCCTTGTGGAAGATTTACTCATCTGCTGCCCGCCAAGAAAATAGCGGAGCTCACGCCCTGCCATCTTCTCGGCACCTTTGTCCTCAGAATCTGTGCAGAGGGACACATGGCTGGGCTGCCCAGCTGTCAGTGGTCTTTGCTCAAGTGGCCTGTACCACATCACAACCTATTCTAAAGGCTCTATGTTGCTCAGTAAAACGTAGTATGAGTTCCCACTGCCAAAAGAGATTTCGATTAAGTTAACCTTTATTTTTCTTGAAACACTATAACATGCCTTAGACATACCCTAGGGCCCTATATTGAAATGGTCTCAGCCATTGCTCTCCAGGCAGATGCAGTTTCTGGTTTACTCAGAAGGGGGTCACCGGGACCCCTTGGAAGGCCCCTGAGTTGCTCTCTCTGGAAAGGAGTCCTCAGGCTTATTTGATACAGTCACCGTTCTGCTTGGATGGAGTTCAGGCCCGACAGGCAGGCTTCCACAAAGCCACGTGCTTCCTAGGCTGGAGGTTCTCATATAAACTGACTTCTTGTCCCTAATAAATGGACTCAGAGAAAGCTCAGAGATTAGTAAGAGGGTTCCAACCCTAAGGGACATGACACAGAAAAAGCAAAGACATTGTGGAAGAGCACATTATCATAAAAGGCGGAGGATGTTAAGCAAGAGGAACCATGAGATGAGGAAGCCTAGAACCCATCCTTGTCCAGGACTCTAAAAGCAATACTCTACTGAGAAACTAAAACCTTATAGAATCAGAGGAACTCACACATTAGAACATGGATTGAAAAAAAGTGCCCTAAAGGAAGGCTTGTATTAAGATGCTTGTGTGCCCCCCCAACACACACACATACTTGTGCAAGATTCATTGGCCCAGGAGCCATAACCGTGGTTCATTCAGACTCCCCGATGGCCTGATGAGAGAACTCTGGTTGCCGAGAGAAAGAGATATTCGTCTTAGCCCTGGAATAGCAGGGAAGCTGCCATCTCACAAAAGCGGCTTGCCAGAAAACCTGAAGACTCCATCCAAGTGTGATGAGGCAAGTTTGCACTAAGACAGAAGTACGGACGGAGCCATTGTTCACCTAGCACCCAGGACTGCGACTGGGGCATGTGGATTCAACAACTTCTGCTTTTCTGTTGTTCAGATACGACCCGCAGGGCAGTGCTACTCAGTGGTCAGCGTCCCAGAACCCCAACGAGCACCCGTGAACACTGAAGTGCCAAGCCAAGGGACTAGAGACTCATGAAGTGAGGAAACGGGTAACACTGGAGCTGTTTAGGAGACTGTTCTTAAAGCAAGCTGAGCGGAGTCTGATTTGAAGAGGTATTTTGCCACCTGGCAGACTGTCAGCTGTGCCTCTCCCTGAGAACATCTGTGCAGATGCCAGCAAGGACACACAGAACCTTGCGGAGCCCCCAGAACTCTGTGCTTTCCTGGCTCCTTCGCCCTTTAACAAAAGAAACGGGCCCAGGATGCTGTGTGACTGGCTGTCCCGCCCACAAGCTTTTTCCATTCAAGTTTCAAAATTGAACATGACCTAAGAGCACATTTCCTGCCGAAGTTCATAAATGCCATTTTCCACAACAAAGCGATTTTGAGGAGGCTTGAGGCTTCTTCGTGCAGATTGTTGCTGGTGCCCAAAGCATGAAGCTCACAGACTCTTAACCGCAAAGATCAAAGAGTAGCAAAGCGCTAAGTCAGGCATTTCTGCTCTCAACAAACCCAAAGGGATGCTTTAGGCACTTCTGTGCTTGTGGTTACCTTTCTGAGTCCTCTGTTAAAAAAAAAAAAAGGCTCGGGTTTTTGTTCTGATTTGAGGTTTTCCTGAAGAGAGTAAGCAAATGTCACCCACAGTCAAGGGAGCATTCACTTAAACACGTCACTAAATGGCAGTATGAGAGTTCTCCTCAAATTATCTAAAGCCACTCATGGATGGCATGGCATGCTCACTCACGCACTGGGGCTCCAGGAGCAGTTGTTAGCCTGTGATATTCCATAGCCTGTGATGCCTTCACGTGAGAAGGAAATGTCTGGGGTTTGGTTAGGGAGCTATTCTCCTTCCCCACCTTAGTAAGTGGGCAGGATTTCCCTTTGTTAGGTAAAAATCCTAAAATGTAAAGAAGTAAGGATCAAGGGTAAGGAAACACCTTCACTGGGAGTTAGTAAATATCACCATTCATTTTTTAACCCATTAACTTTATTTATTCAATAAAAATCTTAGGCTGTGTGATGGCCGGGTGTTAACCGTCAGCTGACAGGATGTGGTGTCACTTGCCATGATGGGCATCTTTGAGCGTCTGTAGAGAAAGAAGGCCCGCCTTAGCTGTGTGTGGGACCACCCACCAGACAGCAGATCCTGGCCTATATCAAGTAAAGAAACCTGAACCTTAGCATGAATCCACTGATCTCTCTTCCTGAGGCTTCGCAGTGTAACAGGCTTTTTCAGGCTCCTTCTACCTTGACCTTCCTCAGTGATGGACGTTGAACTAGAAGTCAGGACCAACGCTTAAGTTGCTTCTGACAGATTGTTCTATCATATCAACAAGACAAAAACCCTAAGACTAATGCTGAGCATGTACCAAAGTATGCCTAAAAAATGAGATTTCAAAATTGAATAATTTGATTGCCAAACTCAATGAGCTCACACCTAGAGAGTTTTCCACTCTTCAGAACTGCTACTGTGTACAGAAAGGTCTCACTAAATATGAGAGAGCATCTAAAATGTTGGAAAATACAGTGAAAGATCTTCAGTAGCAATATTGACATTGTGTATGACTAAAAGAAAAAGAAACAGGTGTGACAGAAAAACATACAGGTGCAGTTAGCTCACTAATACTCTCAATTCTTTCTGAGTGGTTAATAGATGGAGATCATTATCTTTCTAGGATGAAGCACCTTTATTTCCTGAGAAGCCATAATTGTCTAGGCGGCCTAAATAGCCCTTAACCATCCATCCACAGACTCAAGAAACTTCAGGGAAATGTCAAAACTAAACTTAAAGTCACATGACTAATTAGTGATATAATTTTTATCAAAATCCATATGTAAATAATTACCCAGACCACATGGAGTTTATTCTAAAACAAATTATATTTTTAACAGAGCATAGACATATAGCCAATGTGAGGATCAGATTTCCCTCCTTGCGCAAAAGAACACCGCTACATGCTCATGGTCTTTTTAGTTACTAGTAAACTCTCCTACCTTCACTCTGTTAAGTATGATGAATAGAAAGATAAATTGGATGTTGCATATGCTGTGTTGGAGCTCTGAGGTATATATGTGTAAATTAAACATACATAAGTGATTTGCATGCCAATGTTTTCCCATAATCCAGGTTTAAATCATTGCAGCTCTAAGTTTTGCTTCTTCCAGATGACGTGTCAGCATTTTCTTCCAGTGTTTTCAACTTTCTGGAATGCAAAGCTCAGGGATGGAGAGAGGGATGAATCACAGGTTCTGGGCGATGACTTGCTCTTCCAGAGGACTGAAGCTCCGTTCCCAGCACCACGTCAGGCGGCTCACAAATCGCCCAGAGCTCTGTCTCCATGGGATCTACCATCTGCTCTGGCCTCGGCACACAGCAGCAAACACGTGCCATGCAGTCACACGGACACAGATACACACATGAGTGAAAATAAGTCTTCTCTTTTAAAGAATGTAAGATTTGGCTCTTGGAAGAAGTTGTGTAGAAACGTGCAGGTCTCCCCTGCATCCAGGGTTGAGGAGTCCCGCACCAGTTGTCATGCTGTGGTGTGGGTCTGGAGGGAGTCACTTCTCACGGAAGGGAACTCTCTTTAACCGCTAACTTTTCTTTCCCAAGTCGATCACTACAAGCTGAAATTTCCTCTTTCTTTTCACATAATTGTATACCATATATTTAATTAAACCTTCTCTATTGAACTTTATGTGTCAAATCATTCTATCCTTAATCTTCCTGATAATACTGTTTCTGGCAGTTTCATGTAAGTTATAAAAGATACTTTGTTGAGCACCTACTGTCACTTAGAGCCAATCTGCAAATGAAAATGCAGAAATGCAAGGAGAAAAAAAAAATCATTTTTTTTTTCATGATCAGAGACAAAACTATGGGTAAACTTTACAGTTCCTCACAGAAAAATACAAGTGAGTAAATTCTCATGAGTTCCAGAAATATTAAATTGGATAATTGAAACTTACAAAATATTTTAATTAAAGACAAGTTTGGGCCTGTGGCTTTAATTTCTATTCACATATGTAACTATTCTACATTTGGAAGCCATCACACACCAGTCAGCACTTAGATTCCTAAACGCTTTCTGTTGAAGCATCTTGGACATCATACTTCTACACTGACACTCTGACCAGATGAGAAACAGCAATGAGAAGCCTAAGCTGAACAAAGATGTTCCTCAGATCTGTTCTGGGAACTTTGGGCTGACATTTTGTTCTGTGCCAGTCCTGTTCTGACCTATATAACAACCTGGCTCTTGCTGCTTGCCTTCTGCCTCCTGTCCCAATCAGGTTCTCCATGCCTCTCTGTACTGCTGCCTTTCAAAGCACATCAACGGAAGATTTATAGCCCCATGATGTAGCGTATGCATTCTATATTAACACAAGAGCTACCTCAAAGTAAACGAAGTCCTACTAAATCAAAACATGGTTTGCTTTTTCTCTTACTAAGCTTGGTTAGTTTGTTTATTGCCAAGAATGAATGTCTTCTCAAAAGATTTTAACCAAGAAAAGTATTTTAAATGCCAAATCGGATAAATTACCAAATACATTTAAGGAAGTATCCAACTTTAAATGTAAACTATTTATGCAAGATTGACATTTTGAGAAGAGTTGAAAT